TCCACTCCCATTAAATTTCCAACATCCTCTGGTTCAGGCTGCTCTGTGCAGTGGAGGCCCATGCCAAGAAACACCCTGCTTGCCTCCAGGATGCCCTGGGCTTCTTGGTTTTCTATGGTTTTGCTTGACGCTCCCACATGATCGTTTTTGTTTCCATTGTTTTGCCGATCGGCGCGGGCCCGCGACCCCCCCCTTCCCCTTCCCCCCCCCTGGAGTGGATCTTGGCTGTTTTTGGCGACTGTTTCGAACAGGTGGAGCCTCCCCAATGAGGGACGCACTGCTGCAAACAGCCGCATTGAGCAGAGGTCCAGAGCCAGACCCCTCCCCCTCCCCCCCCCCTTCCGCCCAATGTCGAAACGCCGAACAAAAAAACGGCTCACCACACCAAAAATCCATGGACGTTATGGGGTCTCAGGGGCTGGTTTCTTGTGCAAGGCTTCGTGTGGTCGGGCCCCTACACAGTGGGGGCGCGCATTAACAAAACATATGCTTTCTGTCGGGGTACCCTGGGTCTCTTCGCTCCGCGCGCTGCGTGGTGACTTCCAGCACCCGTTGAAGGAACTGCTGCGTTCGGGGTGCTCTGGGTTTCCCCTCAGGTGCACCTCGCGCGCGGGTTTTCAGGGAGGGCTTCTTGTCGGAGGGAGGGGAAGCGACACCAACACCAACGGGGGGGCCACCTCCAGCGAGGAGGTCCACGATGCCTCCCCGAGCCGGGGGCGGGGGACGCCTCGGGCGAGAGGGGGGGGCCACGCCACCAGGGAGACCCCCCTTAGGCTCCTCGCATCTTCCCGCCCTGGTGGTGTCGGCCTCGCATCTTCCCGCCCCGGTGGTGTCGGTGTCGCCACTCGTCCTTCCTGTCCTGGCGGCCGCGCCCGCACCGGACGCGTGCGCCCGGGCGCGGCCCGCGATCCGGCACCGGACGTTGGGGCCCCGCGGGGGGGGGGCTCGGCGCCCGCCCTCGTCGGGCCTCCTCGGGGGGCGGGGGGCACTCCGGCTGAGGCCCCCGCCCGCCCTCCGGGGTGCCCCCCAGGGTGTCGTCGTCGTCGTCGTCGTCGTCGTCGTCGTCGTCGTCGTCGTGCCTGTTGCAAGCCACACCCTTTGCAAACCGCACCCGTTGGAGTCGCCGAGCGCGGGCGGAGAGGATTGGTTGGCCATGAGATCGAACGGTGGCACGCCTGCACCGCCGAAAATCGGCCCCACAGCGGGAGGGTAGCCCCTTCCAGATCTCAGTTCGACCATCTTCGACTCGGTTCGATTCGATGTCGATCGATTCCGATTCCGATGCCGATTCGATCCGATTCGATTTTGAAGTCCGAATCGGATGCCGGCTTCTCAAGGGATGCCTTACCACAGCCTGCCGATTTTCGCCGATTCGACTCCTCCCGACTTCGGCTGCCGATTTCCGCCCATGCGGTCCACGTTTCGATTGCCGCGCCGACGTATCGGTTCGATTCTGGGCTCTCCTGCCCTCCTCCGCGGGCGACGACCCAGTGGATCGGAGGTTGATAGACCTCCTGCCCTGACACGTCGACTAGCCAATTGGTCGTTTCCCGTTCGCGAGAGGGCGTCGCGGCCGTCATTTTTGAGGGTCCAGGTCCGTCGGTTTCGGTCTTAGGCCGTTTTCACTCAGGAGAGGTTTACTGAAGGGAGGTTTGTACACCGCCGAGTGGGGCCCGGTGCCCTGCTTCGTGGAAGGCGGGGCCCGCGGCAAGTCTTCAGTCGGGCATGTCCCTCTATCAAAAATAATTTTGGGGCGATTTTTCTGGTATTTTTGAATAGTTTTGAGTATTTGGTTGGCTATGTCTTTATCTGTCCAAAATTCGCCTGTAGGAGGACATGCCCAACCTAAGGCAAGTCCCGACCCTTTCTCCAGGCCCGACTCCCAGTCCATAGCCGTTCTCTGACAACCCCGGGGCCCGATGTCGCAGCAGAGGCTTCCCCCAGACAGCGGGAGACCTTCAGGGACAACGCCAGGAGGGGGGGATAATCTTAGGTCGGGCATGTTCTACAGGCAGATTTCGGATGAAAAATGAAACATTGCCCCAAAATGATAGGGATGATTGAACAATCGCCCCAAGACCATTTTTTGTTAATGTTGGAATACTTCTCCTGTAGAGGGACACGCCCGACTTAGGGATAGGCATTGGGGGGGGACGCATCGACCCCAATCGTCCATGCAGTTCCGATAAAGGGGCCCGAAGCCCACCCCGGCCCGAAGTCCACCTCGGCCCCCCCAATCCGCCCAGGGAGCTGCGGATTCACTATCGGGGGCCTATCGCCGATCTATCGGCCATGTATCGCCGATTCTGGGTGGATGCATCTCCCCCTGTGCCAGTGCCCCCCTCTCGTTGCCCCCTAGAGAGGGGCCCAGCGCCGATCAACGACATCCGCGCGCACCTCCAAGAAATTATGTTTCTCATACCTCATGGACAAAAATCCTGGGGAGGCCTGTCCACGGGGGATTGTTGGGGGGGGGCTTGTGCGGATCCCTGCGGGGTTGTCCAGGTTGTCCGGGGGGGGGGTCGCCTGGGGATTTTCTTTTGTCCTATGGATTGTTTTCCAATTAACATCGAATGCCGTTGTGTTGTTTCTGCACGCCTCGGCCTGTTCCGCACGCGCCGCCGTCGTCGTCGCCGCCGCCGCCGCCGCCGCCGCCGCCGTCGCCGTCGCCGCCGCCGCCGCACGCAGGCCCGCCCGGGGGGGGGGGGCCGCCGCGCACCCGCACGAGGCGGAGCAGGAGAGAGCCCGGGGGGACTGCTGCCCCTCGCCGTCCGCGTCCCCGTTCGGCACCCCGCGCGCCGCCGCCCGCCGCCGCCGCCGCGCCGTCGCCGCCGCCGCCGCCGCGCCGCCGCCGCCGCCGCCGCCGCCGCCGCCGTCGTCGTCGTCGTCGTCGTCGTCGTCGTCGTCGTCGTCGTCGTCGTCGTCGTCGTCGTCGTCGTCGTCATGGTCGTCGCCGCCGCCGCCGCCGTCGTCGTCGTCGTCGTCGTCGTCGTCGTCGTCGCCGTTGACGTCGTCGTCGTCGTCGCCGTTGACGTCGTCGTCGTCGTCGCCGCCGTTGACGTCGCCGTCGTCGTCGTCGTCATCGTCGCCGCCGCCGTCGTCGCCAGGAGTCCGAGGGAGAAGGAGGTGCCGTTGCCGCTGCCCCTCGCCCGTGCTTCCCCTCTTCGTGGGCCTCCCATGGGAGGCCCTCGTTGCCACCGCCGGAGGCGCCTCGAGATCCTGGTCAGGACGCACCCCAGGAGAGGTCTGGGGAGTAGTGGTACAGGCCTCGGAACAAATTAGCGAACACTCATGCCACATTCATCCGTCAATGCCTCCCCATCCCCCCCCAATGTTCGAAGTTGGCGCTGGGTCTGATGAGATGCACTTCGGCCGCAGTGTCCCCCGCGCGTGCCAACATTGAGTTTTGGGGGAGGGGGAGTGTTCAGTGGTTGTTTCCCTCTATACCGTATCGGTGCATCTTCGCATCTGCAACGGAGGAGGCGGGCCCCGAGGAGAACGGATCCTCGGGCTCTTCGCCGCTCCGGCGCTCCACGTGCCCTCCACGGGCCCCCGGGGCTGTCAAGAAGTGGCCCGGGGCAGAGAACCGGCCAGGGCTTCGCAGGGGCTGGCGCCGCATTGAAACGTCGGGGCCCCAGAAGCCAGGAGGGCCAGGACATTGAAACCCAGGACTTTGCCAGATCCACCAGGAGGACAGGAAGGGACAATGCCTCGAGCCCCGGCTGCAGCTTCCTCGGGCGTGCCAGTGCCCTGGCCTACCAGCAAGACCCCGTTCACAGGGGCATGAAATCTCAATCTCTCTCGTACTTTCGGAGGTTGATAGACCTCCTACCCTGACACGTCGTTTAGCGAATTTGTCGTTTTCGGTTCGCGAGAGGGCGTCGCGGCCGTCATGTTTGCGGGTCCAGGTCCGTCGGTTTCGGTCCTAGGCGTCCTAGGCCGTTTTCACTTAAGTGTGGTTTACTAAAGGGAGGTGCTTCCACCGCCGGTACTTGTGACGCTATGAGGGCCAGTTTTTCGGTCAACAGGGCTTTCAAACAAAACGTCTGTGGAAGGAAGGCTGGCCCGAGGGAAGGGGTCGAGAGGTCTGAAAGAGCGTGTTCTACCGCTGCTGGCGGAAAACTGGGGGGGGTCACTACCGGTTCGAACCCCTCCCCCCCCCCCCCCTCCAGAAAACCGGGGGGGGTCACTACCGGTTCGAACCCCTCCCCCACCCCCCCCCCCCCCCCCCCCTGCTCATCATGAAAAGGGGGGGGGGTCACTACCGGTTCGAACCCCCCCCCCCCTCCGGATCCGGAAAACCGGGGGGGGTCACTACCGGTTCGAACCCCCCCCCCTCGAAAACCGAGTGGGGGTGCGGACAGTGGTGGGGACGGTGTTGGTGGGGACAGTGGTGAGGGGATAGCGGGACAGTTGTGGGGACAGTGGGACAGTGGGACAGTGGTGGGGACGGTAGTGGTGGGGACAGTGGTGGGGACAATGGTGGGAACAGGGGGGGACAGTGGACAGTGGTGGTGACGGTGGTGGTGGGGACAGTGGTGTGGGGACAATGGGAATGAGGTGGAAACAGTGGGACAGTGGAGGGTACAATGGTGGTGGGGACAGTGGTGACGGCGGTGGCGAGGACGGCGGTGGGACAATGGGACAGAGGTACAGTGGGGACAGTGGTGGGGACAGTGGGGACAGTGGTGGGAACAGTGGGACAGCTCAGTGGGACAGCGGAGGAGTCAGTGGGACAGTGGGGACAGTGGGGATAGTCGGGCAGTGGTTGGGGCCGTGGAGACAGTGGGGAGAGTGGAACCGTGGTGGGAACAGTTCTGGGGACAGCGGGGACAGTGCGACAGTGGTGGGGCCACTGGTGGGGACAGTAGGGGCGGTGGTGGAACCAGTGGGGACAGCGGTGGTGAGGACAGTGGTGCTGGGAACACCAGTGGGGGATGTGATGCGGACGGTGGTGGGGACCGGGAGTCGTTTGCTGGCGGTGAGTAGGGGGGGGGGGG